GTGTCACGGGGAGGGGCCAGCACAGGGCAGAGGCTGGTGCCCAAGGAGGGGCTGCGCTGATCAGCTGCCCCGACACAAAGCGCAGCCCCTGCATGCAAAGCCCCCTGCCTGCAAACTGTGCTCATAGTGAGAAGTGGGGGGTCCGACCATCCCATTGCTTAAAGGGGGCAGGACACGGCCCCTCGTCCTTCTGATCCAGTGTCCCTGGGGCTCCTCACCACTCAGTGGGCAGGTTTGGGGCTCTGCCTGTCGTGGTCGCTGGGGGTTTGGTTGCTGACTTGAGCTACAAGCTCAGGAAGGTGTTTTCAGTCTCCACTTGAAACCTCACCCTGTCTGAAAGCTCCCGGAGACTTTCCTCTTGCTCTCTCCAGTGCAGAGGGCAGCGTGTCTGGTGGGGGAAGGGAGAAGACAGGTGAGAGGAGTCCATATTGTACACAACATCCCCAACCCTAACCCACAGACCTGGGTTTTTGTTATAGCAGAGACACACTTGGGTGCATCTATACTACAGAGAAGATGAGGGCTGCTGCTGTCGATCTTCCAGGGTTCGAATTAGCAGTCGAGTGAAGACAGCTAATCGCACTGAGGGGCGCTTCTGTCAATGCCGGTAGCCCTCATTGCACGAGGAGTAAGAGAAGTCGGAGGGAGAGAGCTTTTCCCTCCACTGCCCGCTGTGTGGACACCTACTTCGACTGCAGCTATGCAATTAATGCAGCGGAAGTTGTGCAGCTTAATTTGATTTTGTCCCACAGTGTGGACGCACCCTCAGGTATTTAATATAAAAAGGTCTGAAGCCTCCTGATTCTTCTGTCACTCAGGCCTCTCCCAGCAAAGGAACCAACGTCCCTGCAGCCTCACAGCCAGCCCAGGACAGTCTGTGAAGAGATTCGCTTTCTCCTCAACATCCCCTCACCCCCACCCTGAAGCCTTCACTGGGTTTGGCTCATTCACTTCCTGACATTTGTCACAGCCTAGGCCCAGATCCTGCAAAGATTTTGGCCTCAAAGTAACTTCACCCACTTGGGTCCCTTTGACACGAGCAGAAGGTTCAGAGTGTGTGAACTCCTGGCTCTACCTGTGATCCATGGGGTCTGTATACTCAGCGTCTCTGCAGAGAGCAGCACGGAGCTGTGCGTTTGTCTGTCTGTGTTGGCCATTTTGTGCTCTAACAGTTGCTGTTATTACAAAGTGGCTTTTGGAACAAATAAGGTTCAATGAATCACCTGAGTGTCTGGGACGGCAAGTGGGTGCCATTCTCACCTCACAATTCAACAGAAACTTCATCTAACGAGGAACCAAATGACCAGCATCGGTCTCTTTACATGGGCCCTGGCGCTTCACTCGCTCTCCCCTCCCCCATCCATTCTCGGTACCTGTGAACTGTCTCAGTGTCTCCGACAGCGCAGTCGTTTGCTGGGAGAAACCCCTGACTCACTCGTCCAGATCAGGAGAAATCTCTGGCGGCTGGAACGGCCCCGTCTCACACCTGGGGAGAGACAACGTCACATGG